CGCGCGCTCCTGCGCACGATCTCTCCCCTCCCTGCGCTTCCTCCCGCCCGACTTTCCTCGGACTCCCCTCCGACCTCCGTTTCCCGCCACACCGACCCCGATCCCATCCTCCATCCTGACCCCCCCCTCCCCCAGCCGGTGCACACGTGCGTGCGCGAGTTCCCGACCTCTCTCCGCCCCCGATTCCGCTTCCCCCCCGCAATCCCGACATTCCAACCCCATCTCCCTTCGATCCTGACGCCCCCCATCTTCCCCTCGCTTCGCACATCTCCTTTTCCCCCCCGCTTATCCCGACTTCCCCGGATACTTCCCCTCCTACCCCCGACCTCCATCCCGACCGATGGAGCTTCCCCGCGCGATCTGCCCCCCCTCCCTCTTCCCACGCTCAAATCAATTTCGTTGTCTCCTCCCCTGTAACATTACGAAATTCTGCAATTCTTTTAAAATTCCTTGGAAATTCTTTTGAATTTTTTTCGAAATTCACCTCAATCTTGTAACACGTGGAGAAATTTTCCTGATCCGACCTCGATAATTCTGGAATTTCTCCCAACCTACTGTGCTTAGCTACCACTAATTCTTTCTGAAATTTCATCGTAAATTCTTAATTTAGGAATTAGTTTTCTACTTTTATTTCAAATTGTCTTTGAAATTCTTTTAATTCCAAAAATACGTTGAGGAATTTTCCATTTTATTTCAAAATTTTCCTATCAGCTCTTCTACATCTTTCATCATCTCCCCGAATTCCCAAAAAAATTTACGAGTAAGTATGAACTTCTTTGAATTTTGCTTAAATTTCTTCTAAGTTCCGAAATTACGTCCAAATACTTTCGGAATTTTATTTTGAATTCGTGATTGTCTTATGCATGCTTTCGTTTAAACCCCACACTATCCTTTGAAAAATTCCTCTCATTTTCTTCCCCGAATTGGAAATTTGCCTCTTGTTGCCGCACTCCGACTTTGAATTCTCTTGATTTAATTTTGGAAGTTCGTCAGACCTCATTTATACTCGTCTTCCTCTTGCAGTCCCTTACTCCTCTTTCTGCGT